CTTTTCAGGTAGCAGTTGAGTGTGCTAACCAGTTGAATCATTGCATCACTCAAAGATGTAATTTAAACACACACACACACACATCATCATCATCAAGTCTATCTGACACATGGTAAGCCCATGTATAGAACCGCTCCATAGGGCTCTCTTGTCCAAAATCTTTACAGAAACACCTCCGCTAGCCTTCTATCCTGAATGCCGCTTGGGCGGGTTGTACCTGCCACCCTTTCGGTTCAGCAGCTGATTGCAGGTGACTTGTGCCACCCGGGCGCCCTTAGATTATAGTTAGGTGCTTCTCATACTGGGAAAACACACACACACACACACACACACACCCCACACACACCCCCCTGACAGGCATTTGTCCTATAGAAATCTTCAAACCAGTATGCAAAGATGGTACCGCACCACAGTTTATGGAGAACGAAAGGAAACTCAGCTGTGTTGTTAGATAAAGAAGTTCTCCGACCGTGGAATGACGGGAAGCCACGTGGGAAACCAGCCCGCTGCCATCTCATCGATTCTGACTCAAGGCGATCCTTAGGACGGAGGAGAGCTGCTCCCCAGGGGTTCCAAGGCTGAAACCCTTCAGGGGACACATGACCTCACCGTGCTGCTGACCTGCTGGCGGTTAGCACTCGTGTAATAAAGCTAACAACAACTACGCTTTTAAAAGTTCCTCTACGGTGGAGTCACCCGACGTTATGAAAGAGGACGCAGGCGTCCTGGCGCTGTCTGGTAAGCATCAAACCGCGAACTGGAAAGTTGCCGGTTCAAAGGCACCCCTCTGCCCTTGAGAGAAAGATAACCCTTTGTGCTCCCATAAAGATGCACAGCCTTGGAAACTTTACAGAGAGTCACTGTCAGCCGGAATCAGGTCGAGGGCGGTGGGTTTTGAGTGGAGAGAGGATATGGACCTACTTATTGCTATGAAATGCCGCTGTCCATGGTACAGTAATAAGTAAAAATGGCGGAGTATAAAGAGAAGCCGCTCATTTGACCTGTTTGCAAGAAGAAGAAAAAAAAGGTATTTTTTACTTTCAGAGAAAAAAAAAAGTGTGGAAGAATATGCCCAAATAAGTGCCCAAGTAATTTCAGGTCATTGAATTATGGGATCGTGGGTAACTACTTTTGTTTTCATAGATCTCTATAGTAACTGACCTCTCTACAATTAGTAAATGGAGGGGGTGTTTCCATGAAAAAAGAGACCAGGTACAGAGCTCAGTGCTTTGGGTTGGGGGCTTCTCCGCCAGCAAGGGTGAGAATTGGGGCCAAGCTCTGAAATAAAGAGAGGGTTTGCTCAGGCCTAAAGCTCTCCAGAAATGGCAATCCGATGCCTGTCACTGGATTTCCAGAGCTGCTTTTGGCCTCCAGCCCTGCCTGCCTAGATGAGGAGACTAGAAGGGAGACTAGAGTCCAGAAAGGGTCCTGTAGTTACTTGGTAGTGGATTTTGCGTGCTAGAGTATCAAGTAGATTTCTCGTCCAGTTCTACTTCCAATGAGTCGAGAGACGCTGGCTGGAGGAGAAGTCTATGGAGAAGGATTCTGACACTGATTGCGGAGGAGATAGATTAGTGATGTCTGCCACGGGCATGGAAGTAACTGATACAAAGTATTTACTCGCGTGGCACAGACCATTCCAAAATAACAGTGTGTGAATGTTCTTTATGCCGGCCTGAATCCTTCTATGGTGGTTTCTCAGCAGAGTCCTTTTCTCAGTTTGGAATTTGGTTTGATGAAAGAGAGCAGGGTGCAGCTGCCAGGTAGATGGCTGGGTCAGGAGTACCATACATAGGATCATTCACTGATCACCTGCTATGGTCAGGCAGGGTACAAAGCTCAGGACATCAATCCTTAGACTTTCACAGTAAGCCCGGAGGTGGATACCCTGCATGCCCTTGTTTTATTCTGCCCACTTCCTAGGGCTGTAGAGTCCAGAGGGATGCCATGCATTTTTGTCAAGTGAGCTAGAAAAGTCAGGGCTCCCTATCCAAACACTTAGCATTCATAAGACTCAGTTCTCCAAACTGCAGGAGGCAAGGTAGGGGTCCCTGGTGGCATAGTGGGTTATGTGTTAGGCTGCTAACCTCAGGGTCAGCAGTTTGAAACCACTCGCTGCTCTGAGGGTGCAAATGAGGCTTTCTCCCATAAAGAGTTACAGTCTTGCAAACCCACAGGAACAGTTCAGACAGGGTTACTATGGTTCGGAATCCACTCAATGGCAGTGTTTTTGTTTGTTTGTTTTGTTTTCTAGTTTGAAGCTGTGGCTTTCATTCTTGAGTGTATGGCTCTTACCGAAGGCAAGAATTGGGGAACTAGCACAGAAGTGCACCCGGTCTTTCCCAAAGCAACAGACACAAAGGGTCTGGGCACGAATCCCCCATACCTCTCACAGCCAAGAACACCTGGGCTTTGGCAGACCCCAGGAGGTTGTGCGCTACACATTCGTATATGCCAGCATCCCTGGCCTCCACGCTCTCCAACCACAGGCTCCCGTCTGGCAGGGTCCGGAGCCGCCGCCTGGCCCGCAAGGACTGCCCCGCCTGTAGCCACTCCACTGTGGGCACTGGCTCTCCAGTGGCCTGGCACCGCAGGACCACGTCTTCGCCAGGTCTCGCCGTCACATCCTGGGGCTCCACCTGGAACACTGGGGCACCTGTGGGAGGCCCGGGACAGCTTGTTAGGATCCCTTTTGTCTGCTTCCGTGATCCATATCCATTCCGACAGATCAGAAAATACAAAGAGGCAGGACAAGCCTACCACCCAGCTCATGTTCCGTTCTCAACGCTGATTCTGCATCTAGTTTTGCTTTCCTGTGGGCAATAGCTGACCTCATTGCACACACCTTCTTTTCACTTTGCTTCACCACAGTCCGTGTTCGTTTAGCACCAAAGGAGACAGTGAAGGAGGAAGAGAGAACCAGAGATCCTAGGATGCACACAGGAAACAGACAGCAAAACTGCAGGCCGGAACCCAACCATCCACATGACCGCCAGCCAAACCAGCTCCGTGCCGTCGAGGCCACTCTGAGTCCGAGCACCCCTATGGAACAGAGTAGAATTCTCCCTAGGGTGCTCAGGGGGTACATCTTTAGGGGAGCAGAGAGGGAGCTTCATCTTCCTCCGGCAGAGCGGCTGGTGGGCCAGCGGGGGTGAACTGCTGACATTGTGGTGAGCGGTCCAAGATGTAAGCAAAATACCACCATCATAAATAGCTGCCCTCAGTGGGAGTGGGCTGAACGGTGCAATAAAGGATGGATGGACTTGTCTGGAGCCAGAAACCTACCTCCGTCTACGGAAAAACTGGGAGCAAATTAGGGGTACAATAGAATTTCCCATACGTTATAAAAGTTGAGTTTATAAAGGTCATCTAGAAGCCCCGGTAGTGTAGTTAGTTACACATCGGGCTGCTTACCACAAGGAAACCCACGGGGGGAGTTCTACTCTGTCCTGTGGGGTTGCTCTGGGTTGGAATCAACTCGATGGCAGTGAGTTTGGTTTTGAGAGGAGAAGCCCGCAGCAAATCTCACACTTGAAGGTGCAAGACTGGAGGCTCTCCATCTAAGGGGGTCAAAGGCAAGGAGGTCTGCTCTGGTCACTCCAACGTTGTGTTGGAGGTTCCAGCCAAAGCAATCTGGCAACAAAGAGGCATTAAAGACACACGGATCGGAAAGGAAAAGACAAAATTGACTTTCATCCTAAACATGACCTTACGGTCAAAAAGCCCTCAGAAATCTGCTCAGGACAAAGCCAAACACTAAACAAACAAAAAAATCTAGAACCCTCTCAAAACTCATTTCACAAGGTTGCAGAGCATAAGATCAAGATGTAAAAAAATCAATCGCATTTCTACATATTAGCAGCGAACAATTTAAAAATTCTACCCAAGTCGTTCCAAGGACAATTAAGGAGGAGAAAATACTCAGCAATACATGTAATAAAAGAGGTATAGGATCTATACATAAATACACTGAAAATAATAAGATGCAAATGAGAGGGGTTAAAGGCCTAAATAAATGGTGGTACTGGGAAAACACTGGATTTCAATATGCAGGAAAGAATACATGGAATTGAGGTCCTTGCCTCACAGAAAAAATCATTCAAAATGGACCATAAACCTGAACGTAAGGATGAAATCTATGAAACGTGTAGAAGAGAACAGGACCTTAAGTTAGGCACAGATTTAAAAAAATACATATATGTATATATATATATGTGTGTGTGTGTGTGTGTGTGTGTGTGTGTGTGTATATATATAAAATGCCAAACACAGGATTCATACAAAACAAAATGAATACATGTAGACTTGATCAAATTTTCACATTTTGCTCTCCAAAGGCATCATCAGTCCTATGTCTGATACAGGACTTGTGTCCTGGTTTTATGTAAAGAACGCTTAGAATCCAGCAACGACACAATCTATCCCATTAAAAGAGAGGCTACAGATTCGAAGAGACGCTTCACCCGAACGGGCACACGAGCGGCTCTCGAGTACCTGGAAAGATGCTCAGTGGCATCAGTCATTCTGGAAGTGCACAGGGAAGCCACCTCACACCACCGTGCTGTCAGGGGCCGGCGAGCAGCCCTTCTGCTTAGGAGCTCATCGCCTGAACTCGAGCTCTGTTCCCGTTCCTAGGGTGACCCTAGGCAGCAAAGGGTCTTTGGGGTCTTCTAGGCTGGGATCTTGGTGGGAGCAGGTTGCCTGATGCTTTTCCTGATGGCCGCCAAGCTCTCTGACCTCGGCACCACCTCCCGCCCAGGGCTCCTGACACACCCACTAGCCCCTCTCCGCCCCTCAACCCCCCAAATCTCTGCCACTGAGGCCATTCCCTCTCAGAGGGGCCTGAGAAAAGGTCTCGGAGACTGCAGAACGCTATGGGAGTGGAACTCCTCATCTTTCCCCCAAAGAGCAGCCAAGGGATTTGAACTGCCAACCCATCAGCTACTCTCTAGGAGTTAGCACCCCAATGCCTAACCCATACCCGCCCCCCACCCCAGGGTGGCGCCCTTACATACTCACTAGAATGTGAACACGGAAGACTGGTGTTATCAAGTGTTGGGGAGGATGTGCAGAAGTGCTGATTGGTGGCGCAGTGGGGTGAGCCCAGGGCAGCTAACCCCAAAGTCAGGAGCGGAGAGTATTCTATGAGCTGATGTGGATGTGAGTTAACTGGGGGAGAGGTCCGATTTGTGACATTTCACTGAGCTGTCCACTTAATGATGGACCCCCATGGGTGGCACCACGGGCGAGGATTGGGCTGCCTGCTGACCACACAGCCTGCGTTTTAAACCTACCAGTGGCTCTGCTCCTGGAAGTATTTACCATCTTCGAAACCCTATTGAGTTGGAAACTCAGTGGCGGTGGGCTGGCTGCTTTGGCACAGCCCATGATCCCCCATGCACTCTTCTCTAAAGCGTTTTGACCTATAAGTCTAAGGTTTGCCCCGCTAGCATAGCGGTTACACATTGGGCTGCCATCCAAAAGGTCAGCAGTTTGAAACCGCCAGCTGCTCAGGGGGAGAAAGATGGGGCTTTCTCCTTTGGTCAAGAGTTACATTCTCGGACACTCACAGGGCACTTCTACCCTGTCCTGTTCCTATACGGTTGCTGTGAGTCGGATCAACTCGATGCCAGGAGTTGGCTTGGGGTTTCTGATCTAGACGGTTTCGCAGGGTGACTTTGAGGTTCCAATAGTGATTTGTGAACGATCAGCTGCTTGGCGACAGCAAGGGCTCCTCTGTGGTCTTGGGCTGCCCCTGCATTTGCATGCTCAGTCCCTGCCAGGTCTGGATGTTCATAGCTCTGCCCCCGCCCCGGCCCATCAGCTCAGCTCTGCCCCGAGTGTCCACTTCCCGCCCCGCCCTGAGAAGAGCCCGAGGCCAGGGCCCAGGGAGGCTGGCACTCACTCTGCAGGACGAGGACCACCACCTTCTCCACGGCACCCAGCTCGTTCTCCGCCAGGCACTGGTACCGCCCGGCATCGTCCATCTGCAGGTGGGCCCAAGAAAGGGGTCAGGGGTCAGGAAAGGAGGACAGCGAGGCGTGGAAAGGGGCACAAGAGCAAAGCTCAGAGAATCAGGAAGGAGCCTGGGATCCAGGGATTCCCTCCCCCCCTCCCCCCCAAAGTCCCAGAGGGCCTCTGTGGCTGCCCGTCAATAGGATTCAAAGTTAATCCATCCCTGGTCCACCCCTGGAACTGAGGTGTGTGGGGGCGGTGGGGGCGATGACTGAGGCTATGGATTTGCCATCCGAGTGGAATCATACGCTGGAAGATCTACCTCTTCCAAACATTATTGTCCCACGGCATGTTAGTGGGCTTCCTTGAAAACTGGGCTCCGTGTCAAAGGGTAAAGATAGGTACAGTGAACCCTCGTTTATCGCGGTTAATCGGTTCTAGACCCTACCATGATAAATGAAATTCTGCGAAGTAGGATTCCTTATTTGTAAATCAAATATTTTCGTAGTTAGAGCATAGAGGACATGAAAAAACACCCTTTAGTCACCATTACACTCATATTACCCAATTTATTAAACGAAAAAGGGAAAATACAGTAAAACATTTTGGACGTTACAATTATCATTTATTATTTATTATATTATTTATGGCATCAAGCGTGTACAGTCTGAGCCAATCAGTGGCAGTCATGACAGAGCATGCGCTGTTACGCAAAAACCGCGATAGAGTGAAGCCGCGGAAGTCGAAGCGCGAAGTGGCGAGGGTTCACTGTACATCTATACCTCATGGTTAACCTAGGGGCCTGGCAGGAGAGGGTGGGGTGGGACTGGGGCTTGGGGGACGCTGACCACAGTGGGCACGGAAGGAAATGTTCTGAAGTCGATTGTGGTGATGATTGCACAACCCTTCTTACTTTGACTGAATGATTCAATTGTGTGCTTGGTGAAGTACATGCCAATAAAGCTATTTTTAAAACTGGGCCCCAGGGATACGTCAGTTTGGGGGAGATCACGTTAGACAGCAACCTCTGTTCCCAATCTGTCTGATTTCTCGGGCTCTTGTTCCCCTGGCGGGCACTGTGAGTCTCCCCATGGAAGATTTCACTAGTTTAGATGGGACAGGGTTTGATTCTGTCTCAGGGAAGCCAGGGAAGACAGAGGGGACTGTCCCATGGGCTTTTCTAAAGTTGTGCTCCTAACAGAAGCAGACTGACACACCTGTCTCCCACAGGGCAGCTAGTGGATTTGAACCACCGACCTTTGGGTTGGCAGCTGAGCATGTTAACCACTGCACCACCAGGGCTCCTTTACTTAGGCGGCTCTCATTGCCATCTAGTCCATTCTGACTCAGAGAGACTACCTAGGGCAGAGGAGAACTACCCTGAGGGTTTCTGAAGCTGAAAATCTCTACAGGAGCAGAAAGCCTCATCTTTCTCCCGAAAGCAGGTGATGGGTTTGAACCACTGACCTTGAGGTTAGCAGCCCAATCCATAACTCACTATGCCACCAGGGCTCTGATACTTAGGTTTTACAGATGAAGACACCAAGGCTCAGCCAGGCACGGTTTATATCCTGGGAAACTTTGTTCCCCTGACATCCCCGGACATGGATGCAAGGGAGCTGGGAACCCCCCTAGCTCTGAGTCACTTCTGGGTAGCAGCACAGCCATGGGATGGAGCTGGGGTGCAGCTGGGGCCCCTGTCCACACCTAAATGAGAATGTCCTGGAGTTCCCATCCATGGGACCATCAAGGGGCAACGTGGTAAAGAGTGTAGATTTGGGGCTCAAGGCAATAGGGGGCTAAATCCCAGCCCCACCATTGACCATACAAGCCGATTACTAAGACCTACTATGTCGTTGGAGCCTCAGCTTCCCCACCTTCCACATGGGGGTGATAACTTCTAGGCTTGCGGTGAGTATTAAATGGGATGACATTTGCACAGTGGAAGGCACCGTGTCTGTCACATGCTAAGTACTCAAGTGCTGGTGGCCACTGTTGCTGCTCTCATGGCTACGAGTGTTGTTATTATGACCAGTCCTATCATTATTGCCTTGGAGCTGTGGTGGCCTACTGGTTGCACATGGGGCTGCGAACTGCAAGGTCAGCAGTTTGAAATCACCAGCAGTTCCATGGGAGAAAATCAAGGCTTCCAACTCTCGTAAAGACCTACAGTCTCAGAG